GCCCTTACTCCCTACAACTAATACAAATAGCTACAGTACCTCTCTCCAAGTATCACTCTTTATTTATACTGGTCACTTTACATTCATTAAATAGAACACTTAATTCAATAATATCCAGTTTCAAATACAATTAAGTGATGCACTATTAGGTGTTAAATTTTTCAGCATAGGAATAATGAATACCTATGGTAATGTACTTTCTGACCAAGACTGTTTCTATTCTGATGTGTTTAATGTACATTGTATGATACTTTAACTGAATTTTAACAGAACAAGTTTCTGTTCTTTAAAAGGTGTAAAAAGGAAAAGTAACTGAAATCCTGTGTCACATTCCCAATGCACCAAACTACAAAGCATCCTATACTAGGACAAATAAAGGACAATGCTTAGTAATCTATATCAGGGCATTTATACTTTACCAGCCACAGGGAAATGAGCCTCACCAACCTTTACAAATGAAGTATTGTTTCTTAGTGATTACGATTTAGGAATAAAAATGGCATTTAAAAATTGATATTTAAAAGTAACCATCAGCAAGTACTACAGATCAAAGTAACGAATGGTGCAATAAGACGAGAAAAAACAAGCCTTACAACTGCCCATGCCATTCACTGTGCCTAGTGAAGCAATGTTTGATGTACCGTGTGAATCTTTGACGTATCCAGTGCTTTTGCTACCTTATTAAAAATAATGGTGCTATGCTTCAAAGTATGGCTGTTAGCTTGCTGTAACAGGAGCCTTCAATGGATAACTAGCAAGAGTCACATAGAAGTTACACAAGCTAAAAATTCAAGTTCAGGAATAATAAGGAAATGAAACTGTAAGACTGAAGTATAATTACAGGAATGTATTCTAGTCAGAAGTTCTACAACCAAAAATCCTTTAATATACTTTAAAAGTTGAATAAATAGTGTCATCTTGATTGACATTCAAGAAAAAATAACAAATACCACACTAAAATAGAAACAGATCCAAAACTGTTACCTAAATATTAAAGATGTGGGAGTCAGCCAAGATAGAGATTTTTCTTTTTTATACACTTTTCATCAAAACCATGCAAGCAAAAAGTTTTCCCCCCAATCATTATGTGCACTTTCCATTAGTGAGTAACTATACAATCTCATTAAAGTGGCCCCTGTCTTTATTACCACATTCTCTCTCCATTATTTGTTTCCCCTCCATAGTATCGTGTATGAAACTAGATTCTGAATACTTCGGGGCAGGGATCACATGTGGTTTATCTGTGCTGTGAAGTGCCTAGAATGCCTTTTGGCTCTGTAAAATAACTGTATTTCCTAACTATGGAACTTTTCCTGCATTCCTTCAGTGCGAGTATGCATTGATTTTAATGGGAGTTTTGGATTAACAAAAATTACAGGATCCAGCTCTATTTTATGTAAGGGTGGTATAAAAGAAGTATTGGGAGCTTGTCATGCCTCTCTTCAATCACCATAACATGCCTCTTGCATGGCCTCTCCAAAACTGAAAAGCAAGGGATTGCCACAGTTCCACTGCAGGAAAGGACAGGGAAAGTCTTTGCTCGGGAACTTGTATCACCTGCACACTTTGGAGCAGTGCTACACAAAAACTCACTCCATGGAGAGAGACAGGGCAGAGTCCATAGACTAGACTCATAGCTGATTCCACTACTTCGAACTGGTACTAGTAGACATAACGTGGCTCTGTACCTGGCTCCTGTCTGGGAGGAGAAGGAAAGGATTCCATCATCTGAAACCCCTATGTGGATCTACGCAAAGCCCAAGTAAATGGGCTTGCATCGGGATGAGAATTGGAAACTCATTGTGTGATCTGGGCCTAAGTTCTATGTTGATAGAACCTGTGCCTCAGCAGAATTTACTGCTGTAACCAGGGCATTGGTCATTCAAAATGCTCTTAGTCATATCTTGTGTGGCTACCGTATGATGTCAAAGACTAGACAGATTTGTACCTATACTGTACATGGAAAATATTTACTCAAGCACCTGGTGTCTATAGATACTCACAGACCATATGGTGTCTGTAAACACCCTTTAGGCACAAGAGAATGATTATCATGTCCACACCATTTAAAATTTATGTAGAACTTCAGTAAATTAAATCCTGGCAGCCACACCTACAAAATGGTGCAATCAAAGACAAATTCTACCAACTATCTCATATACACTTACAGCCTCTTTTTTCATGCAAGTATAAATGTGTTCATCAGGTAGAAGTGGGGGACAAAGACTAAAATCAGAAAGGTAATTGGTTTGCTCTTCAAAATATGCATCCTTCTATCAAACTAGTTCAGAAACAGCGGTTCATGTGACATACTACTTCAGTGTTATATTCTGTTACAAAAAAGCTGTTTCTGACTATATTGTGTCATATGACCAGATTAAATAATAGAAGAACACCACAACTTTCTAAAATAAGTTAATTATAAATATTGTCATGGATTATGCCTTCCTATGTTAGTGGTTTTACAATAATGTCTTTAAAATATTACAAACTCCCCTCCCCCGCCATCCCCCTTTTGCTTTGCAGAGTACACTAATTGCTTATACAGTAGAAATAATGAAACTGATGATATACAAACTGTTGTCAAAATGTACAAACTAGAAAAGAGACAGAAGTTATTTTGCTCTAATCTCTTTAGGGTAGTAATATAATGTGTTACATGTAACAATAAGTATATATAAAGAGAAGAGGTGCAATTTCTTCATTTGTGTGTTCTTTACATCTGTATACCACTAAGTTACAGAAGGTTTTGAAAAATTGTCCAATTTTATTAAATTCACATATTTTACACCACTAGAGCACAACCAGCAGTCTACATGCAGCTCAACTTGGTGTTTCTTGTGGTCAATGATCAGCCCATTTTCATTGGCACTAAATACCAAAAACACTTTAAAAGGCTTTAGAAGATAGGGTACTACCATCCTTTTCAGAGGCTATAACAACATCTTATCAATTCAAATATGGATTGTACACTTCAAAGCTACAAAGTATTTTTTTAAAAGCATCCTCCAAACATCAATCTATCTGCAGAATATTAGCACCCAAAACTTGGAGATGTACTGGCTGAAAAAAAAAACTGTAGAATTTTGGGTGTTTAACTTGAAATCAGTAGTTGAAAAAAAAATCTGCTTCCCTGTAACTCCTTCCTAGCAGAAGTGAAGTCTGCCACTCACTGCATAGCAGAGGCTGACAAAAAAGCCAACAGATGCCCTGAGAGTACAGAGTGGAGCCTTGTCTTCAAATCAGCACATTAGAGTCTTCCTTCATATTGAACTCAACCTAACCCAGGAGCAGAGATATCCTGTTTACCTAATCATGGCCTGGAGTATGGAGTGACGATGAATGAGATGTTTGTGTAAAGAGAGGGAGAATGGAGAAACTAGGAGAGGGAAACTAAGCATTTTATTGGTTTTAGGATAGAAGGAAAGAGAGAAAAAGAGGCATGAAAGAAGAACAGTGGCAGATAAAGAGAGAAAAGGTAGTAACAATTAAAAAAATCCAGATCATTATATTTTATTTTATTTATGCCCGATAAAACATTATGGGAGACATTACAGCAACTCAGATAAAGTTGTATAAATATACTTGCAGTGTAATGTCCATGGGTGGGTCATTGGAGGTGGGGATCAAACCTGAGACCTTTGGACCTGAAACAATGAGCCTCTGTTGTTTGCACTGAAAGGTAAGGTTATAGCAGGCTCATCAACCTCAGCCACCAATAGAGGGAGACAAAGCACCACAGAGCAGATGTGCGTTACATACTTGTGTATTTGAATCCTAGTAAAATCACCTTCCCTAATAAGCGTGCAACACTTGATAGCAAAGAGAATTCCATGAATATTTACAAGAACTAACTGAATATGAAACACCGGTGTTTACAACAGGATATGGAATGTGATGCCTTATGGATGTCTTTGCAAAAACACTGGACCTCTTTATAATCATTTAAGGTAACCATTTATAAAAAGCTCAGAAATGTGTAACACTGCAATGTGCACATTCTTTACCTTTTTAAGTACTCACATGCTGTATGAATGCAAGAGTTTGTCTGACGCTGGACAGGTGTGCTTGAGGGTAGAGGGTACAATGAGCTGACCTCATCCATGCATAGGGGCCAGACACAATCTCTGTCCTCAAGTTCATGGGAGTGCAAGGATTGCTAACAGCTCATCCTATTAGGAGCAACAGCTAATAGAGAGGACTCTTTTGCAGGGGATGGCATACGCTGACTCATTTTTAAGCTGCCAATATTTTTCATGAGAAACTACACATATTGTAAAAGTAAAATAATACAAATAGTTTAAGAAACTGCATACAACCAATATCAATCAAGAATGCTGTTACTTCAGTCTTTTACAAAATAGTTCCTTTTAAATATGATGGATCAGTTCTTCAGCTGGTGTACATCAGCATACCCCCTTGAAGTCAATTGAGACACACCAACATATACCAATAGGAGAAGGCCTGGTGAGACTAAGTAAGAGTTGTAAGAACAGCCAAAAAATGCAGTTTCATATTTCCCCCGCTTTCCATCCCTATGAAAATTACTCCATAAAACTATTGTTAATTCACAAATGCCAGCTCAACTCTTATTTTTCTTCATTAATTAAGATTTGAACTGGTGAATACTAAAATATTGGGCTAGATCCTTAGCTAGTGTAAATCAGCAAAGCTCCATTGACTTTAGTGAACTACCTTGATTTATCTCAGCTGAAAATCTGATGCATTATGTTTGGTAGGTCATGGCGTTTTATTTTTTATTAATTACCATTTTTGGTGATGGATTTTAATAAGAAAACTATTCTCAAAGTACAGAGAATCTTCAGCTTCTGTCATAATGGTATCATAATTCAATATAAAAACATAACATAAATGTTCTTTAACACTACGGGGCACACTATACTTGGATGAAAGTTAGAGGAGTTAAAGGCATTAATCTGAATAAAGATAGTGATATTTCTTATTTATCCAAATATATTTTTCAGTCAATCAGGACTTACCATGTTGATTGGATCAACTGGGCCAATGCTGTTAACATAGACATCTGTTTCAATTACCGTAGTTCTCACTAAACAAAAGAGTAGCCATAATAATTACATATGTAATCAACTCTATATACTGTATGCTGTTAATGTAACCTATACTATTTATTGAAATAAGAATAAAAGTGATCCTCTTATCAAATACAGAAGAGGTAGTCATTGCATAAGATTGGCTTTTGATCACTGTGCACAGAATCACATGAAACATAACTCCCTTTTTTCATTGTCATTAAATTACAATCTTCGACATGAATCTTTGTTTCATACTGGAAAATTTACCTTTGTCTGATATGTTTTGTAACTATATGAAGCAGTGATGGAAAAAGGTCAGGTGGAGGAAGAAAATAAAAAAATTCATCTGCCAAAATAAAATTTGAATCATAAACAGAAAGAAGAAAATGTTTGGAAAAATCATGTGTACAGCAATCCATCAGGTCTAGGAGTAAACATATCTACATACTGCACAGAGAAAAATCTCAGTGTAATTTGTCAATTCTTATTGAAGATGTGTAGGAAAAATAAAATGGCTTTTAGCCAGGTTTCTTCAAACTATGTAATTATATTCCAATTAAAGCATACCTGAAGATGCATTAATAATTCTTATCAACTAGATCAATATGTCACTTCATAGACAAAATTTAGAACTCTTAAAATATTTAACATTTAAATGACTTTCATTTCATAATACAAGGAATACAGTCTAATGTGTTGAACAAAAAACTAGCTTCTTTAAAGAGATCATCTTCTAACAGAGGAAGGATAGAATTGCCTTCAATTTATTTGGATAGTCTCTTAAAATACCTGTCTGCCTTATAAAGGTCTTCTGTTGTATAGGTGTCACAGGATGGATGCAGTACCTTCCCCTGGCTGGTTTATAGGAGGGGAATTTGAAAGAGAGAGAGAGGCCAGGACTCAGCAATAGAATTATTGTTTTTTAAAAACATTGTTACTATGAATTTTTCCTTTTTCTACTTCATATTGCAGAGTGCGTGAAGATATACATGAAGGGAAGAGGATATGTCATGCAGCACCTCACAACAGGGCAGGAAGAATTAAGGTTGTCTCATTGTCCCTAGCCAAGAGGACTGGGCAGAATAAAAATGTGGTGGGTATGGGCTGGAAGATTTTAAAAATGAAGCCCCTTTGTCCCTCTGCTGATTTATGGGCAGAAAGAGAAAAGAGTCACAAGGAATTTAATATAGAATTATTTTTTTCCACTTTCTTATTGACCCAAGTAGAGTTCTATTTTCTCAGTTCCAAAGAACATTTGAGGTCATATGACATGGCTGTACAGAGGTGATGAAGAGCTGCTGAGATACTGTGGGCACACTTGTGGTCTCTAGAATGGGCCTCTCCTAGTTTGAGAGAGATCCATGAGATAACCAATTGTTTCTCACACTCAAGGGTCCTCGAGTGAGGTGCCACAAGGTTCCATCTGTCTACCTACTCCTGTTCAACGCGTTCAGGGTGCTGTTAAATGGGCCAGGAGGGTGAAATCCTGGCTCCACTGAAATCATTGGCAAAGCTCCCATTTCAGCTGATCCAGCAGAATAGATAACCTAATTTCAGAATGAGATCAGAGTTTAGATGACATCAGGATGGAGGATGCCCAATTCGGACGAGACAGAAGTAAAGTTGGCAGGTGGGGGAAAACATCTATAAGAATTAGTGAACACTCTAATGGCTTCTGACTGGGTGAGTGTGCCCCCCTTTCATACTGCAGGTTTGCATTTTGAGGGTCCTTGTGAATCTCCTGTTGCTCATGCATGCCCCTTTAGTAGCTGGACCCTGTGTCTAGTAAGAGAAGTGTCATTTTTTCCTTTGGATCTAGGCAGTGCCTGTCTAGAACAGGTCAAAAATGGGGGTGAAGGGAACAGAGACTGGAGTGGGGAGTGATGAAAACAGTGAACATCTTTATTTTTTCCATTTTATTTCACATTGGAAGCTCTGAAAATGTCAACCATCTCAATCCATGTTTTTGTCACTTTGAGAACTGACCATGCATGGTGTGACATTACACTCCATATGTTTTATGGAAATATGCTTATGGGTGTGAATATGAGGTAACTGGAATATGCTTTATGCAAAAGGTCTCTTGTACGGTCTCATAACAAAAGTTATAACCTACTGAATATATCCATCCTAATTGTATGCATGTATCATTCTTGTATCTGAAGCTAGAAATATGAAGTATAACTCTGAGGTCCTATTGTAATTATGCAAAGTATGGGCCATTAATGATGGTTTAGAATCTTGATGGCTCGCATTGACTAGGACAACTGGTTGTAAATGGTTTATTTACCTGCACGCCTTCCTGTGTACCTGTGGGCCAACCCAGGAAGAATGGACACTAGGGGTCTTACAGTGACATGTGACCATGTTACATGATATTGGAATCCATCTTAACCCTTGTACTCTTCATTTGATGAGGTGGGGGTGGGGACAAGCACAGACAAAAGATTCCCACCTTGTGCCAAAGCTCTAAAAGGGGATGGAGTAGGACAAAGGAGGCTGCCAGTCATGAGAACACCCCTGCTTACCACCTGAGATGTCTGCTGGAACTAACAAGGAATGTACCAGGGGAAAGGATTGGGCCCAGAGTAGAAAGAGGTCTAATCTGTGAAAAAAAGCTTATTGGAACATCTCTGAGGGTGAGATATTACCTGTAATCAGTTTCTTAATGTATTAGGCTTAGACTTGCATGTTTTGTTTTATTTTGCTTTGTGACTTTCTTTGTTCTGGCCGTTATTACTTGAAACCACTTAAATCCTACTTTTTATACTTAATAAAATCACCTTTGTTTATTAATAAACCCAGAGTAAGTGATTAATATCTGAGGGAGCAAACAGCTGTGCATATCTCTTTATCAGTGTTATAGAGGGCAGACAATTTATGAATTTACCCTGTATAAGCTTTATACAGAGTAAAACGGATTTATTTGGGGTTTGGATCCCATTGGGAACTAGGTGACCTGCTGAGTTGTTTTCAGTTAAGTCTGTAGTTTTGGGGGCGTGGACCAGACCCTGGGTCTGTGTTGCAGCAGGCTAGCGTGTCTGGCTCAACAAGGCAGGTTCTGGAAGTCCCAAGCTGGCACGGAAAACGGGTGCAGAGGTAATTCCAGCCCATCAGGTGACAGTACCAAGGGAGTCTCTGTGACCAAACCCGTCACACATGGGACTAAGGATGAAACTACATGGATCACTGTAAACTCAGAAGGGCCAAATGAACCAAAAAAAATCCCTGGAACAAACAAACAAAAAGCAAGGCAAGGCATTACCGCACTTTCACTTTATTGGTTTCCTAATATATACAGATTAATAATAAAAACCTTCCACAAGGTAATGTCTGTATGTAATTTGGATTTATACAACCTTGTTTCCATGTAGAAACCAGCAGTAGTATGCTTAGAACAGAATATGGTTTTAGAATAGCATCTTCATGCTCTAAGCATGTCAAAGTACAAACAACAAATAAGTTAGTAATAATGAACATATAAACAAACCAAGTGGCTATAAAGCAGTTAGCAAAGCTCATGCATATTGGAATGAGAGGGACAGAAAAAGACTGGCTACACAATGGTGTTCTCTCTTTTAAATTTCAAAATTGTCATAGGATTCTCAACTTTCATCTAGACAGTCACCAGAAACAGGCAGAAAAGGGAACCCAGTGTCTCAGTCAAAGGATTCTACTTTTAACAGCACAGCATTCCCCCTTGTTCTCACATGCTGAAATGCTGTGTTAACATCAGGAAGAGACCAAATCCTGCTCTGGTATTTGAACCCATGAGCTTCAGGCTCAGAGACAAAAATGTTCCTACTATAAATGAGTCAAATTAATTCAACAGCAAAAATTCTTCAGTGGGATATTATTACTTTGAAAATTAAGGATAATCCCAGTCAAGTAACTGTTCTGCAAGTCTTGAGACATTGAAATCAACACCAGATTTTATCAACATAATTGGAATGGAGTATAGGATGAGTGCATTATTGACTGATTTTGTTTCTTTCTCTGTTAAATGTTTACTACATTTCAATAAGTAGCAGGACAGGAGTTGAAGGTATAGATTGTATTTCTTTGTATGGGCCAAATTTTGAGGCCTGTGAAGCATAGGGCTACAAGCTTTCCTGGTTCTGGAGAGAAGTAAAACAGGAAACAGTATGATAACCTATGCTTTATTCAGGGACAAAAGTTTGTGAAAAAAAGATTCTCAGAAACAGAAAGGTAATGTGACTTATGAATAAGGCACTGGTGTGGGAGTCTGGAAACCTAGATTCCAATCCTGGCCCTATCAGTGACCTTGGACAAGTCATTTCACCTTTTTGTGCCTCTGTTTCCCTTCTCAGACTTTGTCTCATCTATTTATACCAGTGGTTTTCAACCTGTGGTCCATGAAGAGCAAGAAG